GCAAGTAGATGGAGGATCTAGTATAAATCCTATGAATGCCGCTACAATGGAGGATTTGGATTTGGATCACTTATTGTCTTCTATAGTGGTTTTGAGAATGGTTGACTCCAATGGAATTAAACCTATGGATATTTTATAAAGTATTGATACAATAATTATGGGGATTACCTACAAAATTGATTATATTTTTTTCTAATTGCGAAGCTCTATATTATCATACCCAATTTTATTGGGGCGATCGTAGTTATATGAAGCTAAAGCTCAAAATGACTGAGGCCATGGTACATTGACAATTGGGAAAGGTAATGATAAAATTGTGCTTCAAATGTACCCTGTCCAATATCACGGAGAAACTCAATTTGTCAATTCAAAATTCACGTCGAATTGTAAAGATGAGTTTATAGAAGAAGAAATTGGTGTACTTGATCCAATTTATACTCATACAAGATAAGTTGTCGAGCATACTAGAATGAACTACCAGTGTAGGGGACTGGGAGAGTACTTAGTTCTTCTAGATGTTATTGACAATTCTGATCATATAATTGCATATTGGATGAATAGACAGGATGTTTATCACATTATTGCTATGGAACTGGAGTTGGAAAGTTTTAATTTATTGGATTTTATGAAAGATTCTAGAATTAAGCAGAACATTATTCTAGAGACTCCTAAAATTCTACGATGTTAACCAATTAATTTAGATACAGAGGAGGCTCCCCAAATCATTCAGATTTATGACAGTATAATAGGCAAGGAAAAAGAAATTTGGGTGGATTACTTCTTAATACCTAAAACTGCTTTCATATGGTCACATGCGGATTTGAAAGGAATTTCAGCTGAAGTTTGTGAGCATTGAATTATATTGGAGGAGAACACTACACCAGTATGCCAAAGACAACATCAACTTAATCCAAAATACTCACTTATGGTAAAAGAAGAACTAGATAAATTCTTGGAGGATATATTATCAATATTTTAATTATTAGTTATTGAGGTTCTATTTTACTATAGGATTTGGTTTAGGATTTTTCTACGATTTGGTTAAGATTTGGAATTTGGTCTAGAATTTGATTAGGATTAGGATTTTCTCGGAATTAGTTTAGAACTTAATCAAAGTGTTAATTATACTTTGATATAAGAATTGCTTAAGCTTCAATTAGAGTTTTTATTTTTTATATTTCTTTAGAATGCTTTATTGTTTCTTTAAAAGTTTTTATTTCTAGTATTTTTTTAAGATTATTGTTATTTCTTTAAATATTTATTTTTATGTTCTTTTAGAATTTTTTATTATTTGTCTTTGAAAATAATTTAGGTTTTTTTTGTGTTTTTTTTATAACTTCTTATTTTGGAGGTCTTTGGAAGTCTTTGTTATTAATGTATGTCTTAATTAGATTCTATCCTCCCTTTTGGACCTACCTCACTTAGGGCTTATATAGCTCAATGCAAAGTCAATGGAATACATTGAAATCTTTTGCAGTAGATTATTTAACTTATCTCATATTTATATTTCAAATTTTATAATGATTGATGACTTAAATTATTTATAGTAAGTAAATCACCTAAGCTAATTTTGTAGTTATTATTTTTTCTTCACAATCCTACCTTTAGTTATTCTTTTATGCATATCACTTACATAAAATGTAACAATGCTTTGAAATTTAGTAAATAAAATTTTGACTTTACAATACAAGCATACATTAAGTTTTATATCTAAAGCTTTCATAACCATCAACTTATGATCTCTCAAAGTTGGTGATCTTGATGTATAATCTTCTTACTCTCTTTACTTTTGTACTTTGTTTCTCCTAGAGTTGATTAGTTTTTTCTTTAGAACTTTGTATACAAACAAATAAAAATATCTTAAATAATATTTAAAAAACTTATTCTAATAAAAAATTCTAATTTATCACAATAGATATTTTTCAAGGATCAAAAATCTATTCTTTTTATTAATAAAAATTAAAGATATATTAACCATCAAAATATTAAATTATGCTAATTTTTTCTCCTTTAAGTCACTTTGATCTTTCAAAATATTTCAAGATGTTTGTAAAATGAGAATCTACTACCTGTAATCCTTGTTATCTTTATTCTTATTTTTATTCAAAAAATCACCAAAAAACTTTAAGATGACAATCTATCATTTGTAATCTATCTTATCTTTATTTAAAAATTTACCAAAAAAACTCTAAGATAAAAATCTACCACATGCAATTTATATTATTTTTATCTTCATCTTGTAATCTTTTTTGTTATCAATATTTTGTTTGGTCTTTTACTAACAAACAACAAGTATATGAATTAAAATAAAAAAATAAGTATATAAATTAAAATAAGTATATGAAATAAATAAATATATAAATTAAAATAATAAATTAATAATAATAATCTAATTTTATATTTAAAATAGATAAAATACACATAAATACCTACTTTTTAATTATTAAATGGTGCACATTACAATAATATAAAAAATTATTAATTACGGATTTCAATTCTATAAACAAAATTTATAGAAACTTGATTGATGTTGCTTATTAATTCATAGTATATAAAACATATTGAAGATCCAAAATAAAGATTTATAAGGACTCACCTCTTTCAATAGAAAAGTAAAAAATTAAATTGGAATGGCAACTTTTCCTTCTAAGCCTTCAAAGTTCCAAGTTATAAGCATCAAAATGTGGCATTACAAAAATCTATACATTAGTCTTCCATCACAATCAATGATTATTTAGGAATTTTATAAATTTTCATTTGCAATGCTTATGGAAGTATTGATGACATTACAAAATGCAAAGAGTATAAAAAAAATAATTTGTAGATATTAGATACCAATCTATCACCAATCATCAACAATCAATTTTGATAATTTCAATGTTAATAAAGAATATAATATGGTTATAAAGACAAACAAATAAGGATTACAAAAAAAATAATTAAACAAAAAAATAAACATAATAAATTTTATATTATAGCCCATGATACTATTACAAAAAGCATCAACATTGTTTTAGAAAAGCATCTATTAACTTTGAATAACTTTAATGAAGTCCAAGTTGATCATTTCTAAGATTCTTCTTGTCACATTTTTTGAGTTTTTTTCTACTTTCATAGATTTCTTCTCAATGAAGTGAATAAAAGACTAATAAAAACATGATATAAGGAAATTAGAAGATGCATTAGCAAAGCATTCAAGCTTAATTACAATGATAGTTGGAACCAAAGGTAATACAAACCACAATTGGTCTTGCAACCAAAAAAATTAATATGCAACATTAGTCACTAAAAAAACCAACTATGACAATTACATTAATTAAGATCAAATTCCAAAACTTTAGAAAAGATTTTCATTCCGAATATAATTAAGATACCAATTTCTACAATTGCATGGCTAGTCTAATTCAAAAATAAAAATATAACAATTTTGATTAGATCAATTGAAAGAAATATGAAACAATATTAAAAAAAAAAAAAAAAAAAAAAAAAACTTATTTTTAAGGCTCTTAAATCTCCTTTAAGCTCAATCATTGAATGTTGCTCTACTTCTACTCTCACTTCCATTGATACTATGAAACATATTACCTCTATTACTATCACTTCTTTTGTCTTCATTACTTCCATTGCTTGTATTATATTATCTTTGTTACTTGTCTCCATCTACTAAACCTCTAACATCAGAGGTAATTGTTTGATTGCACCATACTTTTGCTCTCATTATAGTCACCTTGATCATTGTATCTTCTATCATCTTAATCATTATTCCTACTATGACCTTGATCATTATGCCTTCAAATATTTGGTAATTATTTTTATAAATTATGTCCAAATCTTTAAAATTGTCTATTTTGTAATATTACCTTGCAATGGCCAAGCAAGATATCAAATTTGATGAATTCACTACTCTGGTAAAAAATTTCTTTTAAATATGGGTTGTTCTTGTAGAAAGTGAAGAAATTTGCCTCCTTTCTTTTTTTCCTTGTTTTATTTTCAATTTATACTTGTGCATCAAAATACAAAGGCACAAAAATTGAGAGCTGTCATCTTGCAACTTAAATATTAAGATTAATTTAACAGCCCACCATGTAGCAACATAAGGCAAAAACTTCAGAGAAAAGATGACAATGATGATCCAGCTGTAAGATTTATAGACTATTTTTTCTTTAAGTATTGTAATATGCAGTATTGTGATTTATAGATCATTTTTTTCTCTGAATGATCTATAAATGATCAAATCTATGAATGATCAAATGTGATTTTTTCTCTAAGTGATCTAATATGAATTTTTCATTTGTTGACCTTTTGTAGGCATCGTTGAGACATGCTTAACCAATCGAGCTTCAAAGTTGCTGATTTTAAGAGGTAAGACATAATTGTAGCTCAATTAAGCAAGGACGTTGTAGCACTTTATGATGTGTGAGTGGTTTCATCACCACTTACTTCAACTCTTAATTTTATTTTGAAGTATGAATGCATTCATGGATTTGAAAGCATGCTAGATGAGTTTCTTTGTTTTTTATTTGAATTTGTGTTGTTTGGTGTGGATTGTTTGATAATTTTTGTGTAAAATTGTTTATTGTTCCATTATCAGGATGGAATTGAGCGTCGCCCCACTCCCACTACCTTTACTAGACTGCCGTGAAACACATCACTTCCCACTGCCTCCGTCACATTCTCTTCGTCGCCCGTCTCCATCTACTTCACCTCTCACATTGGAGGAGGCCGTCTGGTCGCGCCTACAATCCCGCCCTCGTCCTAGTCACCTCAATCATCGTGCCGTCCATCACCTCGATCATCATCCCCTCGATCATCTGGCCACTCTTTTTTTATAAATCATGCCAAAATGTTGAGAGTCGGAGCCACTTCCTTCGCCATCCCTGCTATTATCAATCTCTTGTCACACTCCCTACTTGCCGACGGGTGCTTTTTCTGTAAAATTGTTTGTTTTCCCTATATCAAGATGAGATTGCTATAACCAAGCTGGCAGAGATGCTCGCAAGTAATTTTGACGTTTTTTATTTTTTATTATTCCACGAGTAGTGTGTATTGCAGCTAGAGAGCTTGTATCATACTAATTAGGAATATGCACTATTCAGGTTTACACACTAGTTACGGATACCGGGGTAGCGAGACCTTGCTATCACAGAAAATGAATGTGACAAAACAAGGATGAAGATTCTTCCCGAATCGACATTTCATATCCAACTGCGCTAGACAAGTCTGAGCAGAATTCGTTTTACTCTGATTTTGTTCTGTTTCGCTTGAAATGGCTGTGTTGCGCAGGCTGGAGCATGAGACTCACGATGTAATATGAATTCCGACATCGAATCTTTGTTCAGCGCGTTCTTGTAAGATGAGACAAGGTCACAAGTTGAACGCATTTGAGGTAGTTGTATAACACACGAAGAATACTTACTACCTATTACAGACACTCCGGGGACGCAACTCAACAGCAGTGTAATTACTGGAGAGGGTCACAAAAGAAGCACGTTCATTCTGGTGGTGTCGTCGAACTCGAAATACTCCTTGGCTAACCAGGCGAGTGAAAATGGTGAACTCAGTTGTTGAGGCCGGGCAGAGCTTGCAAACATTAACGAAGAACTCCTGCAGCAAGTGAGGCAGGTGTAGCAGCTAGTTAAGAATGTGACCTAACCCCGCAGCGGACAGGGAAACCAATTAGCAAAACAAAACTACTGTAAAAAGAGCGCACGATGCCGTAAAGCATGGAAACCAACGGGCCGTGCAGAAAGAATAGGTTGGCTAGTTCATTCGATACAAGTCAATTCACAAGAAGAGAAGCCAATTCCATGCAATGTCTGGAAGAGAGTTTACTTATTACGCACTTGAAATACACGCTACGCAACATCGTCGTCCACGCTCAGTAGAGGAAATGAATCAAGGCTTGCTTACCATCTCCATATTGTAACCCTAAACCTGCATTGAAGCAGAAGTTTTCACCCGTTCAGCGGGAGCTCTAAACTGCGGTTAATCAGCTGCTATTGAAAAGCACCTGCCGAAAATTTTGAAATAAAGTAAGAATAGCAATAGTGGACTGTATACAACCTAACTTGCTAACACCATCAGCAACTCTCAGCCTCTTCAGGATGAAGGCCTGGCCACAAAGTCGTGATGAACTAACTCTTTCTAAGTTCAGACCCTAGAAATTACACGGCGGCTTTACCCTGTAGGGTGCACTGTATGCAGCTTGAAGCGCGACGTCAGCTGGTGGCTGCTCTGAATTCTCCCCCGAAAGGTCTTCCAGAGATCGGCCATTTGTTTCCGGGACGAGGAAAGTGCAGAAGAAGCCCGCAGCATTTATGACTGTCAGCAGCAAGAAAGAGTTCTTCAATCCGATTCCGGTGGGATAGCCTTTGTCTTGCTTTCCTTGTACCTGGCTCTGAGCAGCGTACAAGAAACCAAATGCGCCTACTATAGCACCAGCTTTCCCTGCTGCAGCTGAAATACCGTGGCAAGTTGATCTCAGCCTTGCAGGGAAGAGCTCAGCGGGAATGATGAAGGTGGTCACATTAGGGCCGAAGTTGGCGAAGAAGAAGGTGAGGGAATAGAGAGTTAGGAAGGCTGTGTGGTTTCCTCCACAAAACTGAGCATCATTGCAAGGGTCTCCGCGCAGAGCATAGTATTGTAAGGTTAAAATCAACATGAACAATGTCATGAAGAAGAAGCCGACCATTTGGATCACCCAGCGACCGATCACGTCTACGAGCACCACCGTCGCCCAGTAGCCTGGAACAGTAGAGACCAAGGCGATCAAAGCTTGCGCTCGGGAGATTTGAAAAACCTCTTCCAAGGCGCTCATTTTTCTGGCAGCCGGGAGCCAGCCGATAGAGGAGAAGATGTCCTTCTGGAATAGATTCTGTGAATAGAAGGCAATATCAAGCAAGAACCATGTGCTGGTACACCCCAGCAGCTGGATGCCGTGATGTTTCAGGAACTCCCTCGACCATAACCCATACTCCCGTCGCGCTTTTGAAAAAAATCGAGTAGTGTCAGACTCGACAGAATTGTTCAGACATCAAACTAGAAAGAGCTCAAAGTGAGGACAGTTTCGGAATATAGAGGAGAAAAGTTCGACTTACCGGAAGCTGTAGAGGTGAGATCGACAGCGCCAGTGAAGTCCACTTGCAACACGCGGCCCATGTCGAGAGCAGCCTGCTTGTTGTTCTTCGCCACCAAAACAGTGTACCGAGCTGTCTCAGGCATCTTCATGCGGAAATAGAAGGTCAAAGCTGCGGGGATCGCACCCGCTGCGAGGATGATTCGCCATACGTAATCTGCTTCAGGTGGCGTTGACAAAACATTGCCGTCGTCGAACGAGAAATTGTGCAATGCATTCCGAAAAATGACACTCACGATGATGGACATTGTCGCCCCACCCAATATTCCCATGCCCTGCATAGCGAACACGGCGGCAATGAATGCTCCGCGCGTCTTCTGATTCGCATACTCCGACATAATTGTTGCTGAGAGAGGGTAATCCCCACCAATACCCACTCCAAGCCAGAACCGGAAGAAACAGAGTGTAGTCATCACCGCTTTCGCGGTTGACCCAAACGACATGGCGGACGCAATGGAGGTGATGATCATGAGCAGAAGCGTCCATCCATACACCTTCTTGCGCCCGAGCTTATCACCAAGCCATCCAAACACGAGCTGTCCCACCAAAGTCCCGCAAAGTGCCACACCGTTCACAGCTCCGGCGACATTCGCAGGAAGTGTTCCAGGGAAGTGCGGGGCTGGACCAGAATAATCCGTGTAGTAGATGCGCCCGAGTAGGCGAGTAACGGTGGAAATGACAAAGAGGTCGTAAGCGTCGGTGAAGAATCCCATACCAGCGATGATGATTGTTGTGAAATGGTACCATTGCGTCTTAGCTCTGTCGAGAGAGGAAAGAATCACATCAGGGCCACCCATTGTGCCGGCGTTTAGAAACGCGCTTGTTCTACTGAAAGCGCAGTAAAATACTCACTTCTGCATCGCCTAATTCCTTACGTATCCAACTCAAGACCAGTTTCATAGTGCCGCTACTTCCACCTTCTGCAAAAGCGCAACATCCAGATTGCCATTATCGTTAGGTACGTATGCCCACTTGTGAGACCTCCGCACTATGGGGAATTCCATGCGGATCGAAAAGTTTTGAAAGAACAGACAACATGGTTCAGACATCATCGCAAGCTGGGTTTCTTGTGATCCAATTGTATACAAACCCCATCTTGCCTGCATACAGATTAGACTACAATCATTGAAGCGTTCACTTGTCTAACGAGTTAGGTTTTGAGTGGTACCAGAGAAGCATGAAGCGTCGCCCAGAAATTTATGCCTTCAGCAGTGGCGTCGCAACCGAATCCAATACGTTACTCCTGACCATTGCCAACTCCGCTTGCATCATGCAGTCAAGACTTATCTCAAACCCATCTACCGGTCTGTGTCCAGCACGCAACCACATTCGGAGCTGAGAAGCGAAAATGGGCTTCGATCACAACCAACACAAGAATGTCAAGCAGCGAGACTGGCAAAACAAAGAGCTCCTTGTCACACAGATGAACCTCGCGGCGTGCAAAAGACTATATGCTTTAAAAATATTAAGAGGGAGACGAATCATTAGCTACAGTAACGCGATGCTCTGCCCCGACAACCCCAGAGGTGAAAATAGGAAATATTTTAATTCCTTACTTTTCAACAGCAGCTATTTTTTGTGCAGAGCAAGCTCGTCGAAAGCGCCGCCACCCTTTTCGAGTCAACTTGCGGTACTTTCGCTGCTATTGACATTTTTCTCCATAAGGGTGGTCTACTATGGAGGCATGGCCATGTTCAGCAGCAGCTTGGGTGTTTGAAATCCGTCGTGAAATAAATAACTTTGAATGGAATACATCCATAATTGTTAAACAAGTCTTGCACAATTGAACAATCTCAAACAACAGTGTTTGCACCAAAAGCTTCATCTCTGTCATGTAACGTCTTTAATAGCTTACCTGGACGATCGATGACTTTCAAAATTTCAAATGGAAAAACCGTGCATTAGATATATATATATATATATATATATACACACACACATGTGTGTGTAAGAGAGAGAGAGTGAGACAGAGAGAGAACATTTAATCTTGTGATGTCTAGTTAAACTTTTAATATTCAGTCTAGCCGCTCTTGTATCTGCCTCGAGGGAAGGTGTACGGATAGAAGTTGCTCTGCTCTGTTCTCTAATTTTCATGATATAAGCATCAGGTATACCTCATTTTTGTGTTAAAACAATAATAATAACAACAATGATTACCTTCTTTGAATGAAAGAGGGAATAAACACAAAAATATAAATGCCAGTTTTGGAGGTGGGCATGAAGAACCAAGCGGATCCAGATCGCCGAACACCTCGCTGGATTAACAATCCCATCCAACCCCCGAAAATGAATAAAATAAAGATAAAATTGCGGTCGGGAGGCAGTGCGCCACATCAAGGATAAAATTGAAATCCCCTGCATGATGCATCCATTCCTAAGCTCTAACAATGCACCCACACACTGCGAAGAAATTCCCCAGCTAGTCTGCGTCACAACAGTGGGATTCCTTTTTACCGTGGCCGCTAAATGCGTCGGGTCACGAAGAGGAACTCCGACGAGATGTGTCCGGAAGCCCGCACATCTTCAACTCCGGCGCGCAGTCGTTCCTGGCAAAGGGCAAAAGCGTCGTGATACCGTAGATGCTACTTGCCATCAACTGTTGGCCAGGGAGCTCGAGATTCCGCCGCCCTTGCAGCGGGAGATCACCTCGCTACAGCAGTTGATCCCTTCTTTGCAGTCGAAGATTCACCACATGTCGTTGGGCGGTCAACCTCTTTGTTGGGTGCAGATTACTGACTCCGATAAAACAGGTTTCTCCCGTCGTTCCTTAGAGCCCTGAGGGGTTACTTAACCCTCGGTGAGATCCGTTCAGTATCTTTATTTCCACAGGAGGTTGGCTCCTGCCTTGACCCCAAGTGGTGCCCTGGCTCCCACATCTAGGCCGTTTCTTTTTCTATCTTCCTACTGTCCGGAGTCAACAATCCACCAAACCATCAGCCGTAATTTCACGACGATGTGAAAAGATCCTTCCTTTGTGACTGAGATGTCGAGTTGCATTACATATTTTGAATGTATCTCACGATTTCATGTGCTGCTACGAGGGATTGCAATGAGAATTCTCGGACTGGTGCTGGTCTAGAGGTTTATAACGAGCGGTGCGGGTGAAAGCATGCCTGGCTGCAATGGGCACTGAAATGCATCGAAGCGTGGGTTGCATTTCGACTGGATGAGTAACGTCGGCCAAAGAAAGATTGAATTGATCTCTCTTTCGTGATCCCGTGAGGACGCTGAGGAGTGTATCCAATCCACTGTTATGATTATTCTTAAAAAAGAATAAAATATTTCTTACCAAACTCGGAGAAGTGTTGTCATTGTTCCAAGAGAGATCACATATGGAAGTTCAAAAAAGTGGCTCAAGGCAACGCTGTAACATTGCCTGCATAGAATATTCAGTATCGATGTGCATGAGCAGAGTATTAGAATTGCCCCATGTTTACATTCACTTCCTACTGCTGGATTCCTTAATAGATGAATCTTTGTGACTTCATGAATCTCCATAGTACCCCAGCATGTTAAGATCTATCCCAGGCTGTCTCTCTAGATCTAGGACAGTTTGTAACAGACGGTAAGTGAAAAGGATCCAAAACAAGTCAACACTTGAATTTCACCAAAACTTGTGTTGAAAAGATTCACATATATTTTTTTATTAATTATTTATTTTTTCTTTTATCCTTGTTTATGGTATATTTATTGAATCTTCTTCAAACTTCTATGGAAGATTGTACTATACAAAGCAGTTGTTCACAAGTAATAATCAATTTTAATTGTGAATTTATTCAATTATAGAATATCCTAAAAAAAGATTGGAGGTTGTTAATCTTAGATTTTATACCAATTGGATAGCAAATCAGTTAGTAGAACCATTAAAATTAATATTTTACATTATTTATTACAAAAAAAATAAAATTTATTATATATTGGATCAAAAATTCCAATTCTAATACTTTAAATATAATCATGTCCAAAATTTAGGAAGTTACAAGATTCTATCTAAATTAAGTTTTAATTTGGGAAAGGCTACTTGATTATCTTAAATCAACATTAGATAGTGTCAAGGATATGAATCTCAAAGAAAGAAAATTCAATACACTCTTCTATCACTTGAAAAGATTAGAAAGTCACTCAAAGATGCTAATATATTGAAATGAAATGGCTATTGCTAAAAAAAAATAAGACTAGAAAGGCTTGAAACAAGACTAAAGACTAAAAAGGCATTGATAAGAGTGAAGAAAGCTTTACTCTTTCTTTCATATTTACTATGTCACTAAAAGCTATGTAACAATGTTCTACATGACCTTTAATATGTATAGACTTTGCAAGGCACATATTTTAACTTATAAGGGAAGTTTTCTATGTGTGCCATATAATTAGCTTGTTTTATAAGTTATCAATATGTATGATATGTGATTAATTTATTGACTAAGTTTCTAATCTATGAATCAACTATAAACATGTTATCATGTTGTAGTTTGGCTATCATATGAAAATATTGTGTTTATATGGTTAATAGTTACTTTTACATATTTAAAATCACCCATGGTAGACATTGGTGACCCTTAAAATCTTATTTTGTTTCTTTTATTTGATGTTTAGGACCTATATTATATAAATCTTATAAGAAAAAGGATTGGAGAAGGATCTTGGTAGCAAAAAGAAAAGTTAGGGCATCCATATAGATGAATGGAGATAGATGATGAAAATCTCTATTCCTATTGGCTAAAAATCATGCCCAATGGGCTTCAAGGAGGCTGTCCGAGGCCTTTTTAGGAATTAGGGTTACTCTTTTGAAGCCATTTGAGCTTTGGAGGCTAGATTTAAAAATTTTAGGTTTTTGGCTATAATTTTGGTGTAAATTTTATGTGATTTGGAATTTATATGAAAGAAATATGGACACTAAAAGTTAAGGTGTTGATTTTGTATCTATTGTCACTCTTTTGGACATAACGTGTGCATACAAAAAGTAATAAAAGATCGGTGACCGGGATTGAAGAGATCATTTTTTTGGCTACAATTTCGGTATACTATTTGATGGATTCCAAGTTAAGATAAAGGAGATATTGGAAGTTGAAGTCAATGCTTGCAAATGTAAGAGTAGTAAGTGACTAGATTCACTAGTGGTTGTATTTTGGGTTAAATTTTGAGCAATTTGACAAGATTTTGGCTCAAAATTTTCAAGAATTTTTATAATTATGTTAATTAATTTTGTACACAAATTTTGTGGAATTTGAATTTTGGATTTTTGAGATATGAAGAAAATAGTGCTCTAATACTTGTAAGATAGGATTTAGACTACTTGCTAGGATTTCTAAGATATCAAAAGATTGATAATGATTTTACGGTTTATTTTATTTTTAGTAAAGCTTAAGAGTAATAGCTATACTATATAAGATTTTAGAAAAATTGAATGATTAGACGAAGAGATATGAATTTCTAAAATTCAAGAAGAAGAAATTTTTTGCCAAAAAAATAAGTTTTGAAAGGTTTTTCTAGAATTTGAACATTTTATATAAAGTGAAGAGTTTTTGGGAGCAAAGACATTGAATATAAGTTAAAGATAGAAAAAATCACTTATTAAAGCTTAGTTAGTAGGTTAAAGCTAAATTCTCTACAGCTAGATACGTAATGTATTTCTAGATTATAAATTACACTACATTATAACATGTGAAGTCAAAACTAAATCTATAAAGCTTTCAGAAAGATTTTTTAGAAGATATTCTAAAACTAATCTATTTTTATCTACTTATATCTAATCATATATGTAATTATTGGAATAAATTAGTATGTCTATGATAATATTTTTTTTTCTAAAAAAGAATTCTATGAAAAATAGTATCACGGATATGTACATTTATTCCAATAATTACTTATATGATTAGGTAGAAGTAGATAAATATATATTAATTTCATAAAATCTTTTAGAAAAGCTTTCTAGAAGCTATATAGACATAATTTTGACTTTAGATGTATTTGTAGATTAAAAACCTAGTTAATAAGTTAACTAGGTATTGATAGCTTGTAGAACAAGTTAATTCCGTATAGTAGCTTATAAAACAAGCTAACTATGTGATATATATATATATATAGATAACTTGTCTTACAAGTTAAGACATGTGGCTAGCAAAGTCAACACATATTAGAGGTCCTATAGAATATTGCCATATAGCTCCTAGTTAGAGAGTATATATAGAGGCAAGAGTGAAGCCTTCTTCACTCTTGTCAATGCCTTTCTAGTCTTTAGTCTTATTCTAAGACTTTCTTGTCTTCTTGTTTTTTGCAATAGCCATTCTAGTTCAATATTATATCATTTTTGAGTGACTTTTTAGTTCTTTTCAGTGACATAAGAGTATATTGAGGATTTTCTTTCTTTGAGATTTATGTCCTTGATAGTTTGACAAGAATGCTAATATACTATTTCTATCTTATTTTAGAAGTGAGTTGATTACTTCACTT